CCAGGGCGGGGGATCTGGTGTTCAAGTTCGCGTCGATGCCCGGGGACTGCGACGACGAGTACAGGGAGAAGAAGGGGGTGGAGCCGCCGCTGATGAGGGAGAACCTGGGGCTCATGGACCTGGCGCTCGTGGCCCACGCTATCAATGATTATTTGTCCAAGTATTATTAGTTGGGTTTTGAATTCGGTTTGCTCGGTTAATGTGACTTTTTGAGTTGGAATAAAGAGGGAATGTGATCGGATTGTTGTCTTGAATAACACAGTACGTTCCCAAATTACACAGCAGCTGTACGAATACTGGTTACGTAATTTTGTACGGCAAAATTTAATCATTTCCGGTGCGATGTTTTAGAAAATTCAGGTATGAAGAAGCTCGCCGAGTCAAAACCTTAGAAGCCAAGCAGGTCTCTGTCAAAAGACGAATTTGCCCCGACCCCCCAAAATCACAACTTAAAAGATTCTAGCGAGTACATAACTACTACACTTCTCGACCAAGCAACAAACGCTGAAAACTCAACTATCTCCTATCTATATCAGTCATGACAACACGCACCAAAACGCTGATATCTGGATTGTGGAATCGAACCGCGTGATATCGAAGCGTTCCATGTACAGAAGAGGTCTCTCCGTCGAAAACGCGAAACAAAGTTCTAAGTCTCGACCCCAGAGGAAGTTTTGGATCATACGGGCACTCTTTTGCTTCTGTAACGATCAAACAACTGCAGGGTGGAAATGCAAGACATAAGAGAAACTGGGGCCTAGCTAGTATGCCTTCAAAAAGCAGTAGAAACAAGAAAATGACATGAAAATCTCATAATATCTATGGTTTCAATTACTCTTACCCTATTAATGAAAGGCTGCTGGACCAACCAGCCAAGAATAGGAATCCTCTGCATGAAAACTGATAGCGTAGGCCAAAAGCCGCTGTACGATAAACCAAGTGTAAACATCAGTAAATAAAGGATTTACATACAAGTCACAAATTTATTATTATTATTATTATTTGTCGGGTGGTTGTTGGGTTAATTTTTAAAATTTTTTGGGGGTTGCTCTCTGAAACTAACCAGGTTTGAACTTGGTCCAGTTTTAAATTATTTTGTTAATTGGTAAAAACTGGTTCAGAAGTGAAATACTTTAGTTTCTTTTTTGGCCTCTAAATTGGTTTAGTTGTGGACTAGCGAGGAGTTGGTCCACAACTAAATCAGTTCTGTCCAAAACCAATTTAAGAAATAAGTGACTTAATTTCAGTGAGTAACAAAGCACACCCTAAAATATAGAATCTTCTTACACATGACAAGGTTATCAATAAAATGTGACAACTGACATGTTAGCATGGATGTACAATAGACAAAGCTTAAAGTTTCACGCTTGATGCAACAAAATTGACATCAAAGACTGAAATGGCCCACGAAAAACTCAACGACGCATGAAGATCAACTTTTTGCGAATATGGGGGGAAAGGTTATTAATTTTACTTGACCCAACTTGGATATATTGTTTTCATATTAAAAGTGAGGAGAAGAAAGAAAGTGAGGGGATTTATGTGAAATTCTCTCTCAAATTAAAGCTCCCAACAACAACAACAATGTCACCTTTCACTTACCCCTCAAAACAAACCCTGATATATAATCTTCAGATCTCTACCTCAGCTCCAATTATACAGACACAACAACAACCTCCCCTTTCGTTGATAAACAGCCAATAAGGGCCAGTTTGGTATTGCTGGAGCCTGAAGCTTATGGTAAGTTGTTTATATAAGCAGCTTATAATATCAATTTATACAAGCTATTGAAAGTAATCGTTTGGTGATCACATATCAAAAACTACATCTAAAAGTAGTTATGTTGTTTGGCAAAATGGTGCTTAAAGATCAATGTCAAAAAATAAAGATCTTACATGGTATACAAACAAAAAAAAAACAAAAAAACTACATCTAAAAGTAGTTATGTTGTTTGGCAAAATGGTGCTTAAAGATCAATGTCAAAAAATAAAGGAAAAAAAAAAAAAAAAAAAAAAAAAGCAGAAGCTACTTTTAAAAGCGTCTTTACGTTGCTTCTACAAGCACCGTCTTGAAAGCAGAATCAATTTCAATAAGCATGCAAATAAAACTTTCACCAAACACCATTACTAACTACTTCTCAAAAAAATAAGAAGCACCCCAAAAAAGGCAATAACCAAACTGACCCTAACACTATCTTCTCCTTCAATTCGTCTCCTTCACCACTATAAAAACAAAAACCCAACTTTAGGGCCACCTCCTCCAATTTGTCGTTGAAAGAAAACAAAAGAAACTGGAAAAAATTAGATCCAGAGCTCATCGAGGAAGGCGACGATATTTGTACCAAAATCGCAATTTTTTTTCCCTTGGAATGGGAGGTATAGGAAAGATGAGCTTAATTTTTGCTCTTCGCTCCCAACATTATTCATAGTAGGGTTTTTGAATCCTTACTTTGCTATAAAGCTTGATTATCTAAATAATGTATTCGCAAGAAGTATTTTTTTTAAATCGGCCCCCAAATCTAACTTAATATAACTTTGTAAAACGTAAGGTTCATCGAGAACCTCCACTGCTCGAATAAAACAATAGATATTGAACTTGTGTTATATGGTGTAGTATCCAAAGATTAACTGGAAGCAATGGCGGAGCTACGGGGCTAAGCGGTGGCCATTGCTCCTAGTTTTTCAAAAACAAATATATATATATATATTATATATATATATATATATATATATATATATATATATATATATATATATATTTATAATATATATATATAATATGGGTATGTTTGTACCGGAGCAATAAATTTTATGTTTGGTAGTGAGGTGACACAATCCCCTCCACTCATTCAAATAGGGGACCACATTCACATGGGTTGAGGAGTGCATGGGGAATGCAACCATTTGAATGAGTGGAGGGGATTATGTCATCTCACTACCAAGCATAACTTTTTTGTGCTTGATACTAAGCATACAGCATTTCTCCTCTCTCTGCTCTTCTATATATATATATATAGAGAGAGAGAGATTAATGGGTATCTTTGTCATAGGAGGGGATTTCCTCTATGACGCCTCTAAAATCACATGATTGAGCGACATTGTGGATGATCCGCTCCGTTGAACTTGATCTACATATTCTAAAACCAACACACCAAGTTTGGGGTGCACCCGTCGTCGTTTGCCCTTCATCCACTCGTATAATTTTAACGGTTTTGAATGAATAGAACTTTTCACATGGCTCAATGGAGGTCAACGACGAGAATTCACCCCAAACTTGGTATGTGAGGTTTAGAATATGTAGATCAAGTTCAACAGGAGCGGATCATCCACAATGTCGCTCAATCATGTGATTTTAGAGGCGTCAAGGAGGAAATCCCCTCTCTATGACAAGGATACCCATTAATCTCATAATATATATATATATATATATATATATATATATTATATTATATATATATATATAATATAATATATATATATATAATATATATATAGTATAATATATAATATGACTTATCACATAAAGTTCGCTAAATCTTTCACATTTAAAACTAGTCCTTCTAATTCTTCTTTGTTTGAAACTAGTGCCCCCCCATTATTTCATATTTGAAATTAGTTCCCAAAATCTTCATATTTTGAGATTTGTGCCCTAAATCTTTGAAGTGTTTTTAAATAAGTTAATTTGTTACATTTTACAATTGTAATTGTTATCTATGATTAAATAATGGTGTTAATTAGGAATTGGTCGTTTTCAAATTACCAAATCAATTTAAACTAACATCAAAACCCACCAAAATCAGACTCCAAATTACTGGTTATATTATATTGTGGTTTTACAGTTGGTCATCATATTATCAAATGATACTTACAATTTCATGAAGCTTAACACTAAGAAGTAGATATGTGAAATAAGTTTTCTAAATTCACGTACCGCTGTAAATAAATGTGATAATAATCGTTTTATCTCTTATTGTTGTTGAAATAAGTTTAGTGGTATAGTTAATAATGTATTGTCAATTTGTTAGGTCTTCAAAACATTATAATTTGTAGTATGTGGTTATGAAAAAACTAACTATAACTAATACATTTCAAAAAAAAACTTTAAAAGATTGAAGCATGTTGATTCAATGATGGATGCATATGTTGAAATAATTTAATTATTCACAAAAATAACTTTCCTTTATAAAAGGTTAATTTTGAATTCTTCCTTCTCTTGCTTACACATATAAAATTATACATTAGTGTATTTGATCGCTTTGCATTACTTAATGGATAGTATGATGATTGTACTTTGCCCCCCTAGGGGAAAATTTTCTGGTTCTGCCACTGACGATGAGGGTCTGTCTCAGAAGAGAATAGACAAAGTAGCAGAGAAGACAGAAGGGGTAGATTTAGAATTGAGAAAATGTAGCGAATGGATTTAATAGGTTTAAAAGTATAAGGTGTTTTCACCCTTGATTTTTCAAAATGAGGGCCAACACATAGATGAAAATTGCAAGAGGGTAGTAGAAGCAATTTTCCCCAAAGATGGAAATCATAAATTTTGCTCCCACTTGATGCACGTAAAAGAGACCACAAAAATATTTGATGGAAACAATGGGTATGAGATACCGTCTCATTTTGTTAAATGACCTACCAAGAGATGACCATATAAAGAGGCTCACTCTCCTTGTCACATCAAAACATGTGGATCTTACCACTCCCCGTTCTTGGTACCTCATTTTGCTGAATGAGCCGCCACATCATAACCATCAATCCCATATTTGATTATTTGTTTATAGTAATTAAAAATAATTTTTGTATTATACTCAATGTATCATCGATTTTAAATTGAAATAAATAAGTTTTTCGAGATAACAGGATCCAAGCTTATATCCTCTTGTTGTGGCCTTAAGACTCTCGGTATAATAAGCAATCTCCAAAGTTGTAACATGCCTAATGCAGTAAAAAGTTAGTATATGCTAGTTGCTAAGTTGACTGGTATGGTCCCTGGAATATACAAATGTAGATAAAGGATGCGTGTAGACAACATAAAGAATTTGTGAAAACACTTGTATCCTTCTGTTGTTGGGCAAAACCAGTCTCAAAACGCACATAAGTAAAGAGTTACCAAATTGGCAAATAAATATGTCACTAAACAAAATTGATATGAGAGCTTTGTACCTAAATAGTATAATGAACCCATATGCTTCCAAGATCATCCCAATGACAGCCCAACCAATGAGAACCAAGAAAAAACCAGCTCCAAATGAGATTGTACCCTGTCAGATAAACAACCAATTCCCAGTAAACAAAAGACGCAAGAACAAAACAGAATATAGGTATGTAAAGACAGCCAAACCTTATAGTTCTTAGGTTTTGTAAAAAATTGCATGGTAGATCTCAGTCCAATTGTTAACATCACTCCTGAAATGAAGAGGATCTGACAAGTCACATAGAAAAAGGAGTCAGAAAATATAATATGATTACAATATTGTAATATAAACTAGCACAAGGAAGAGTAAAATGTTGGAGGAGAACACTCACATTTCCAATAGCTAGGAGGCCTTTGTCGAAAAAGAAAATGATTCCAAGGAATGAAAAGAATATCCCAAATCCAGTCAGCCCTAGCCCAATCTCTGTTTCATATGTTAAAGCAAACTTAAAGGACAACAGCAAGAAATCTGATTAACTCTGCATTACTACCAAAACTTTGTAACGAAACTGGCCATGCCGTTCATGTTTTACAAGGGCAATTATATGATTTATTAAGAAGCCAATTTAAGTTCTTGTCTCAAGTGTTGTCATTAAAGGAAGTAACAGATGAATTTACATACAACTTTCAGTAGTATCACTATGCATAATAGTAAACCATCAAATTTAGAAAATAAAAATTAAATTAAAAGGGAAGTTGAGAAACTAACAGATCCTCCTATCGATATGCACCAAAATTAAGTACTCTTAATTTGGCTAAACCAGAAATAAAACCCGACAAGAGCTAAATTCTTAAACATCAATAGGAAAAGTAGTAATCTTTACCAAATCATCTCAAACAAACTTATACCAAAAGTATTAGTAAAAGAGTTCAAAGAACACATAAAACACTTACAATCCTTAAAAAAACAGATCAATGTACATATAACAGAATTCTTACTTTTCCGGTCATTCATCTCAAATGAAACCATTGTGCCAGATTACAGAGAAGTCCAGATAATGATGTCCGGGGACCTGCCACAATAAATAAATAATTGTAAGATATGGAATGTATATTTCATGCAGTTTGATAAGTGCAAGGATGACTTAGAATGTCCATCCATAAAAACATTACCAATTAAGTACCAGGTCTTTTTAAAATCAATTGTTTGAGAATACGGGAGAATGAAATCTTCTCAGCAGGTAAGCAACAAATAGTTCAGATACACCAAGACACAATGCTTACTAACATATATACAGTTGCGCTATATTTTCACTATTTTCACTGAGATTTCGCATCTATCAGTTTCAAACGAAAATGGGACCTAATGTCTTCACCTTATCTAAGTTAGGTGAGGGAATTGATATAACTAACAAATGGATCCTATTTGCAGGATATGAGCTGTTCATCGCAATCTCTATCAGATAGAATAAAAGCATGCACCAAAAAAATCTAGATATTTCGCACCCACTATTTAAGTGTCGCAAAATGAATGATTTTTCAACAAAGGAACAAATGTGACCACTTAATGGATAGATTAGATATCTCTAAATTGTATGTTTCTTTGTGTAATGGTTTAGGAGACGGGGATTAAGATGAATGATTCGGATCGTTCAAGAGCGTTCTTTCAATAACTATTAGCCGCTCCCTCATCTAAGCAAGGTTAGGTGACAACTTAGACCCCATTTCCTCGACTTTCATTTTAGTACTGTCCTCGTACATGCTGACAATGATGAAAAAAACTGTTGAATTTCCTTTGACAAAAACCATTTAGATCAACTTGGGAGTATGCCCCGCGTGCAAAGAAGTGAAAAACGTACATATACTCATTATGCTCGCAAGACAATCTCCCAAGCATTATATTTTCAATAATCAATGAGGGGGAAGAAGTTCATCATTACAAGCCAACTACAAATGCTACTTTCTCTGCTTCGCCCCCAGATCACGATTCACATAACTTCAATAATTTTTATCCCATACTTTCTATCGATTACATCTTAGTACTATTTTGGTCAATATGTATCGCCTTCATATTCCTACGATTATGCTTTCTTCATAACTAAAGTCAAACCACCTCTTGCCTTAACTATTAATGTTTCAAATTTTAATGTTCTAAGTGCAAGCTTATAATTTTTTGGGCATATAAGAAATGCAGAAACACAACACACCTAACAGAATATAGATAATTAGCTACACCTAATCTATAAATAAAAAAATCTCACACCTGCATTAATGTTAGAAATATGTAACACATGAATGTTATGAACACATAAACAATAAGGTAAAACATGTGCAGGCACTATTCATGTGCTAACTTTATCTTCTAATCCCATATAAGTCTACAGTCTATGTTACCTAGACACTTACTATCATGAAGCCGTACCCATATCCAATATGCCCCATACCCGTACCGAGCACTTCTCGGACACTCCTTGAACACATGCATATGCTTATACAGAATTATACAATATATACTCTAATTTAAAACACTTGTCAGTTGTCATACACTTCTTGGACATGCATCCTACACATCCACTTTTTAAAGTTGTTGGACCAGGGTTGAGATCATTTCAAGCCATATTAATTAAAAAACTATGATTTAAAAGGGTTGTTTGCGTATCTAGCTTAATACTATGATTACAGCCCCTGCGTTTAAGCTGTGATCCAAAATCGAACTTCTACAGATTTGGCGTGTCCTGTACCCATACCGGGTACCCGTAACTGCACCCGTACCCGTAGATACTTGTAAACATCCCTTCATCGAAAGATCAAAGATCCATTCAACGTTATGACATGCTTAAAATCTCGGCAGGTTAACTTGCAGTTAATGAATTCCAAAATCTTACGACTTCTGCTTTGAAATTGACGAAGGCTTAGACGATTTATCCTAACTCGCCGTGAATTCAGGTCAGTGAACAACAAGAAGACGAGTGTAGATCGATTTGAAAAACTTTGAAAATGGGCAGAAAATTAAGTAAAATTATACATAATTAGCACTCACCGAATATGATAGATGCCGGCGGTGTGATCTCGACCTTCGGTGTCGTCGGAATCAACAGAATCCAGTGCGAGATCGGCCTAGGGTTCCATCGATTTGGGCGTTTTGAGTGAGGGAGGGGTTAATCTGGGAGTTTCCAAGTCAAAACCAATAGAGCACAGCCCGCTTAAGGGCCTAGTACAATTTAGATGGGCTTCAAAGGCTTGGGCTGTTTTTACAAACAGAGAAAATGGATGTATAATGATACTAATAAAATAATAGAAACTTTTTTATGTAAACCAACAAGGAATAAAAAAAATTACTAAGAAAAACACTTTTTATGTCAAGTTGAAACTTTTACATAAATTAAATGTATGCAACTAGAAATTAGCTTGTAACATAAATTAAATAACTATTATCACCTTGCATATAAACCCCTAAACTTTTTTCTCCCCTCAGGTCTATGAACTTCGGGGTGTCTCACAAAACCCTCCGTAGCTTTAAAATTTTTCCTGCTAGATTCCCTTACCTTTGCAAGTGAGGAGGTAACCCTGTCCCCTCAACCGAGGATATTTTTTTTTATCTCAACAAAATTTTAATTATTTACAAGCTGCATGTAGTCCAATGAGAAAAGTTTAAAACTCAAGGGGGTTGATGTTAGATTAAAAAAAATCAAGGGTTTACGTGCAAAACCCTGCAAAGTTCAGGAGAATTTTTGTGAAATTAACCCCTTACAAATTCCTAAGAATCTGCTTCACAAATACAAAAGAACCGGCTTGATGCCAACCTTTTCTCACGAGGAATTCTCATCTTACATTTTAGAAAGCACTCTCCATAGCCCTGTCCAGATCATGCTCATTAAAAAAATTACTCACAGATAATGAGATAAAATGTCAGAATGTTAAAAACATCAGAAAAATTCTTCATATATGACATTTTAACCGTTACTATCTGATGAAAACATCAAAAAAAAATTATCTTCTTTATACATAGATACCTTAACTGTTTACACTATGATGGAAGCTTATTAGTTTATGCCCAGCTCAGTGTAAAACATACGTGGTCAACAAACAACTGATTATTTTGCCTTGCATCATGAAGATCTTGAAATACAATTATAACTAAAACCAGGACAAACAAATAAAGTGCCATTTCTCCTTGTTCTGGCCTAAGTCCTGGCTATCTTTCATGTATTGGAGAGCTCTGGATCATGGTCGTCGTAGCAATTGCTTCCGATGTCCTGAGCAAGATGCCCTGCAATAATAATGCACAGGGCCGAAGCGACCAACCAACTTTTATCCAAGGAACGAAAAAAGAAAAAAAGAATTTAGCAAAACAAAAGTTTGATGTAAAGAGGATTGGAAGGAACTTTCTTGTCAAATTATTTGAGGCCGCTTGTTTGAAATTTAAGAGGAGAATTTACTAATCATCGGCGCAACAGGAAAAAGGACTTCTCTTTGTGATGAGAGGAATTTTCTAATGCCAATTTCATATACGAACACAGGGCTAGAGTAGAGAAGAAAATATTTAAATGCAGTATGAAAATTGATGAAAAGGAAAGAGAAAATGACTGGAAGGCAATCAACTTATCGTCATGACCATTCAAAGCTCAATCAGAAGAACACCAGTAATTAGGATTTCACAAACTTATATGATCAAAGAGTACATATCTAGAAATACTAACTTTGGAAAGTAATAGAGAGGAAACAGTAAGATTCACATGCAATATAAATTTTCTGTTGCCATTCATGTCACATGACTTTTGTGGACTGCCAAGTTTGTGCAGTTTTAGAAAAGAGTTGGAATGCCATGTAAAGGGAGAAATGTGGACAATGAACCAACACTATACATGATGGAATCAGACAGGCTTGTACCTTGAAGTTTCATATCCGAAGGTAACGTGCATATGACTATCAGTTGAATATGTTTACGATATGCACAATGTCCCTGCACTAGGAAAATGCTACCTAGGTACCATTTTCAAACCCGAATTCCTGGAATGGACTGCTAACATATACTGCCTTTCTGTAGCGACATGTTGCACACCACTGTGTTTGGCTTCAGCTTTGCTTCAGAACTTGCTTCACAAATTTCGACTTCTAAATTGAAAACAGATTTTAGCAATCAAACCAAATTTTAAATAAGCAATGGAGTCAATTATGGTTTAATAAGAAAACTTTATGAGAATAAGGCAGTTTGGGATCTTAATTGGCCAGTGTTGTTACCAGCTAAGATTTCCTCTCTCAGTCTACATGTTAAGAAAGCAGTTCGCATTGTTCTTCTTAATATAAAAGGATCAACTGTCTTTCTCATGAAAGAGTCTGAATTCCCAAAATGTATTTCTTCCTCATAATTTGTGAGACGAGGTCTATTTCAAAAATAGATTGTTTCTGTCATTTTCAACAGCACTTTGAGGTTCCATGAATAGAAGTTTCAAGTAAGAAACACAGAAATTGCTTAACAAACAAAATATAATTTTAAAATTTATCTAAAACTAGGGCTTTAACAAGAAAAGATGGAGATGACACCTTCAAATTCCCCAAAGAACTCAAGCAACGTAACCAGCAGGACACCGAAAGCTCTTAAAGATGCACTCGTCACAAGCCCTCCCTTCGCCTCGGTCGTAACCCCCGAATGATCTGAAACATTCCATGATCCTGGAAAAAAAAGAATTGAATTTCTAAATCAGTGCATGTAAGAAAAACAAGGAAAAGAAAGATAGCTCAATCAAGTTTTAGTAGGGGTACCAACATACAAAGGTAAAAGAGAGTAGAAAACCAAGGGAAAAAAACTGAATCATCATTAATCTATTTCAAACATGACCATATCTAATCTACATGATGGTTTGATTACTTAAACCTACAAATCATAAACCAAACTAAGGGTATCCACAATTGATACTGTCTCTACAGTTTCATGCCATGACAATTTGGTCTAAGCAACCATACTTACTACTGCTAGCAGGCAAAAAACATGTCTCCACAAAGCACCACGATGAAAACATAACACTAATCTAAATGATTCGATATTGAGTCCATATAATTTCTTAGGCTTAATAAGATCCAAAACTATGAAAGCAGTGTCTAGGTAAAAGACAAATCAAGAGTCTAGAGTGTAGATTTAAGAACTTCTTGGCAGTTAAAACAACATCACTCAATACCAGTAGTCCTGATACAGTAAAACTGAACCCATTCTGTCAGAACAAGAAGGTTAAGCACGTACAGGCTATTCACTTACCAATCAGACATGTGACCTAGGAATGACTTCAAAAATGACTTATCAACATAACAGGGAGGTTCATGATGCCAATTTCAATATGCAACCAGACTCTGAACTCCCATATATACCCAAATATTTCCACATTATCAGGTAATTACGGCTATTCACTTACCAATTAGCCATGTGACCAAGAAATGACTTCAAAATGGCTTAGCATCACAAAAAGGTTTATTATGCCCATTTTAATATGCAACCAAACTCTGAACTCCAATCTATAACTGAATCTTTCCACCTTAAATATATCATGGGTTGGCTAAATAGCACCATTCAAAGCAAAATAATTGACAGGTTTTATGACCAGTAGCTAAATGCATAGCAAGGTAACTGAGGTCCTTCAATGCATCTTGACGCTAGTTCGCAGGTAGATACATTTCATGGTTATCCACTAGCTGGGCCTGCAAATTATTCAAGCCTGATATAAGAAAAGAGGTAAAACTATAAAGCTTGTACAACAGGCTGCATTCATGTGGAGAACACAAAGCAAACCAAAAAAATTATCAATGTGGTTCTGTTTCTAAAACTCCAAACTATCTAGATAGCGAGATGAAAATATACAGCAGTAGATAGCCTTCCGATAAAAATCCAGTTGCAATAAATCTCATATTAAAAGCCAGTGGTCTTTATGTTCTTATCAAATCAAATCAAAAATTTCAACAAGTCTCCCCACCAGGCTGTTCATTGAGGTCCGCTTTTCCTTTGGCATTTGTATTGTGATATGATCAAAGATGAAATTCCTATCTTTTTTCTCTATGATCTCAAACAAAACTGAACTACATCAAATTTGCATATTGTTTATTGCTAATACGGCTGTTCTAACTACCCCATTCTGCACTCCAATAAGCAAATGAGATAAATTCATTTAGCTAATTTTCCAGAATGACCTGTTGCATTTGATTACATTCGAACTATTTTCCTATTGACGTGCAATTTAAAAAGGACATCTAGAAGGCAAAAAACACAATGGCAGAACAGCTTGAAGCACAGAACTAACAATGACAAACAGTAGCATGGGTTTATGAGATGTAATTCAGAAATCTGAATATCATAAGGAGGCTATACATTACAGAAGGGTCCCCCCCCCTCCAAGAAACCACCTTAAAATCAGGTAAGTATACACAGAAACCATCTTTCAATAATTTATACACAAATGACCTTTAAAATAGGTTGTTGTTGCAATCAACCACCTCCTAATCAAATTTTCACTAAAAAAATAAAAAACAAGCTTAAAAAATTTAAGTTCAAGGTACATGAGTTGTATCCTAACAAGACCTAAATCCTAACAAGACCTAAACACTAAAAAATGAATCACATGCCTTCAATATGAGTTTTTTTAGGGTAATTTTGGATTTTTAGTAAAAATATTGACTGAGAGGTGGTTGACAGCAACAAAACCAACTTTAAAGGTGGTTTATGTATAAATTAAAATTGAAAGGTGGTTTCTGTACAGTTAGCCAATTTTTAAAGTGGTTTCTAGGGGGGAAAACCATTATAGAACATCTCAAAGTAAAAAGTGCATGTGACCTGAAATAGAACATCAGATATAAGACTTACTCTTAGAATTTCTAAGGATATATAGGAACATTCAGGGAAAGAAGTGACACTACTCAACCGCAGCTTGACTTTCTTCTATTCAGGAGGTTGTAATAGGATGCTACCACCCAAATCTGACATTTTCCTTTACTGTCAGCAGTTTACTTCCAGCTATCCAAAACAAGCAACTTGATCTTCTAAAAAAATTAAATTGTACATTTTTTTAATTTACAGGGTGACTTTCCCATGACTAATGACTGGTCAACCTTTTGAGTTTCAAGATTGATGAAGAACCTCCAACCATCTGCTTCTCTGAGCATCAATACAAACACTCAAATAAAAATATCTAACATCTTCACAACTCTGCACTTTGCACAATGACTCCATTCCCTTCATCATCAGAAACCCTATTCTCATCCACATTCGATCCCAGGAATTCTTTAGCTCTCTGAGTATCACTCTCCCCCAAAGGTGGTGATGCGAGAGCATTCTTCTTATAATTCCAAACAAACATAGAAACATAATCCTGCGGAGTTATAAGCCCCTCCTCCCGAAGACAATTCCGCTGCTCCTCCAGAGTTTTAGGATCCTCAAGCTTTATGAGTTCCGTCAAAACCTTCTCATGATCCGGTCTCCAACCACTTGGAAATGGTGTATAATCTGTCTCTGGAACAAGTGACATCCTCGTATACTGAAGCCCGTCAACAGAATCAACCAAGCCCATCCTCAACAAATTATGGTACTCCGGTGACAACCCCTTCTTATCCTTTAAGGGTCGGCTTAGATTTCTTGAAGCAATCTTGTACACCTTCGCCCTTGACCTAAGTTTATACTTGGCAGCATATAGTTTTGCCAATGAACCCCTTAAAATGTAAGAACAAAAGTTAACTATTTTCTTCCGGTTATCAGCAAACCGATACCATTCCACCATCGTTGCCAAAAACTTATTCATCTGCGCGTTAGTATGCGCTTGTGTTGCATGGAACATTCTAAAACAAGGTTGTGGATCAGGATCTCTATCTCCCTTTAAAAACTCCAACTTTCTAAATGTCTTTATGCACTGCTTTAAGCTGGCTGTAACTGATAATAAAGTTCCCACGCCCTTCTCACTTATAATCTTACCACCGCTAGCAGTGTACCTGAGTGTAGGATACACAACCCTACGACACAAAACATGATCTAAGAACATAATCCCCTTGGTGATATGCTCAATTGGGAGAGACTCATTATCCAGCTTGAGCTGATACCTTTGATCACAAAACTCACTAAGTTCTTTCCTTAGTACTGCAGCATCAGCTCTAGGACCTCTAACCCCAATCAAGAAATGCCCACCATACCGAATATAATCCATCTTCCTCGTCTTATCGGGACCACTTGTGGGCACAAACTCTGGCCATGAAGTGTTCCCTTGTTCCATCTCGCCCTCTTCCCCATTCCATATAACATCAGCTTTAGATGGCTTATAAAACTCCTTAATCTTCTTCTCCATCCATTTATCGAGTTCATCAAGATACACATTTGCAAGCAACGGGCTTAAAACCCCGCAGTGTCCCCAATCGGGTAACTTCTCAGCCTCCTCAGGAGCAAACCCAAAGAAAGTCTGAAGCCAATAAGGATCAGGTTTAGGTTCATCCTCAGCTAAAACCCTCTTCTTCTGATACTTCCTCTTTTTCTTCTTCTTCCTCGCGGCCTCATCATCCCCAGGTCGACCAGTAATCACCGGAGTAACAAGCGCAGCCTTTATCAAGTCCACAACTTTCTTATCCCTAACATCCCGAATCAACGCATTGATGATCAATCCAGGTTTAACCCCATCGAGAATTGTGCTGAGATCTCCTTTAATGTACCACAAATACCCTGCAAACAGGGATGGAAAAGAACCAAATAATTAACAATTATTTGTTAGTAATTATTTGTTAGTTGTTCGCCAAATTGTTCAGTTATATTTGATTCGATAGTTTATTTATAACCGAAAACTAACTATTGGTATTCGATTATATTTGAGTTGATAAAAGTAAACAAACTTTTAGCATTTGGTTCATACAAGGACAGAACATAACTAGAGTTATATCCAAGTCACTAAGATTATTAACTATTCCTTTAAAATCTGGTCACTTAAATATTTTAACTTTGCAGCTTTATGCTAATTTTGAAAGACTTAAAACGAGCACCAAATTGATCTCTTAACCAAAGACTCAAAACTACATATTTATACATCATAATTAGGAACAATCTTTCGATTTTTAATTTAAATGCTATTTTACATTTTTTTAAAAAAAATCATGATTTACCAGCAAAGCTCCGGCGAATGACCCTAATCACAGTATGCGCGGTCCTCCCAGGCCGAAACGCGAAAGACTTCTGCGAGAACCTCGCTTCATAAATCGGCTCAAGAACCATCAGCAGCACCTCCTGAACAATCCTATCCTGGAACGGCGACGGCTGAGCCGTCGTGAGCAAAGCTTTGATCTTTCTCTTCGAGAGCGACTCGAGATCAGTCTTATCCCTCGGCGACCGGATGAAGGACTCGAGGCGGGAACCGAACCGGAACCTTCCATCAAGGACGGCGTTCCGGAGGGAGAGGAGGTCCTCGAGGGCGGAGTTGGGGATGGAGTGCTTGGGGACGTAGGATCCGGTGTCGTCGGCGGCGACCTTTTGGTAGGCGAGGATCCAGAGCGGGAGGGAGCGGAGGAGGGGGAAGAGGGAGCAGAGCGCGTGCGTCTCCGACGAGCGGAAGGAGGAGATCCAGTGGAGAAGGGAGGAGAGACGCCGTCCTCGCGGCGTTGAGAAGCTCGTCGGAGGAGGGGAGGTCAGCTGCGGGAGGTGGCCCGCGACGGAGGCGCGCGCGTCCGCGGAGGGGCAGGGGTGCAGTAGGGGAGAAGAGAGACAGGGGGAGGACAGGGAGGTGAGTGACGCCGGGGGCGAGGAGCGGCAGCAGGCCGCGGCGACATTGGGGCTTTGGGTTTAGTTTGGCGGAAAAGCCCCGAAGCGTTAAGCCTCAGATTGATCGAGGGCAGACGGCAGTTTGGGGACGGGCGGGTCAATGGGCCAAAAATGGGTGGATTTTGGTGGACTGGGTGTAGCAGACCCGGCCCGTTTGAGGATTTATTTGCGCTTTTGTAGTCGGGCTCGTTGGGTCGTTGGGCTTGTTGCAAAAATAAATTGCAGCGCATACAGTATGTCTCGTAGGAAATCAATTTTTAAACTCGATGTTTAGATATACGCAATCATATTCTGAGAAATGTATTTTCAAATTCAACTTTAGTGTTCCGTTGAAAAACAACCAAACAAAAGCTACAAAATTTTGTTATATAAGATAACTTTGGTGTCGATATATTTTCTGTTTGGATTTAAAAAGATTTTTTTGATGAGATCAATTTTTCCTCCTCCTTCAAGCTTGTAGCTTTTCCTCCCATCAAATTGGCCGTATCATTTGTTGCAAGTTTTTTTTTCACAAAATGTAATTTCATTTACCTTCCCTAATTACAAAGTTATAAATCAAACGATGAATTTACAGCTGTGGTTTGCTCCATATACATTTGCAACTCCTTTTCCATTCGGCCTAAAATTTTTTTGTCACTTGTATACGTAAAAGTTTCGGTTTAACTTTTGGTTCCCTAACATTTACTTTTTGTTCAAAAACCGTCACAATTTAACATGTGACCCATATAGGATAATAACATCTCAATGATAAAAAGTAACCCCCC